ACTGCGGTTCTTTTTCCTCTTTCCCTTTCTCACAGTTGCTTTTGCTCACCTCTCTTTACTTTTCCTAGTCTGACTCCTCTCTTTTAAATCTTTTTTTTCTCTCCCTCTCTCAGTCTCTCTTCCTTCTCCCTGGTCTCTGTTCTGTGTCCTGAGCTAAAACGACCTAAAGTTGTAGACACTTAGAATGCTGTGCAGGGGGTGTGTGTCCGCGTCAGTGTCTGTGTGTCCGTCCCCGCCCTTCCACCCCCTCCCTCACCCTTCCCCAAATCTCGAGTCTGACGTTGCGCCCTCTTATTCGACTTTTCCTCGCGTCTCCTCCTGGAGTCTCCAATCACCCGGGAGCCTTCTGGGCGAGGCGGCCTTCCCTCGCGAATACAGAGCGCCGGGAGGGGCGGGGCGGGCCGGGCCCGCAGTCTTTTCCCGCCCCCCTCCTGCCGGCACAGGGAGGGGAGAGCCCAGACCAGGAGTGGAGGGTTAGTACAGGGTCACCTCTCCCCTCGGGTCTTCCAACTCCTCGCTTTTCAGCCCCCACAGCAGCTGTAGTTCCGGGGTGGGACGGGACCCCGGCTCCAGGCTGGCACCCGGGTTTTTCTGTGCGATGCTGTTTCCCTTTGCAGTTCTCAGCTCTGGTCCCTAGGACGCTTCCAATAGCCTAAGCGGGCAGCAAAAAGGGCAGCTAAAAGAGTTGAGCGTGCAGCCTGGGAGTAGGGAGAGCTGCCCCTCTGATCTTTTAAAAGACCGAATCTGTGTCGGGGAAACCCTACAGTTCACCACGTTAACACCTCCGGGGTACCTCGGTGAGAATTCTCATTAGAAAGTGAGTTTGGCGCCCAGGTGGTCTTGCGGAGCAAGCAGAGTTGGAGCTCCTGGCTATGGGGTGGGGGAGGAGCAGAGAGAGCCTCACCGCGGAGGCTCTGGGAACTTTCTGAGAGCACTTCGAGAAGTTTCTGTGTTGATGTTTTTGGTCGATTACGACCATTCATTTCACTGTCCCTTCTCCTGTTCTCTGGGCCCAAGGCCAGTGTTTTCTTTTGGTGACAATCCCCTAGAGCCGAGGAGCGTGTGCATGTGGGGGGTGGGGAGCCAGACTCGTTTTCTGGTAGGATATCTAAATGTTTTATGGTAGGATAACTAAATCTAACTTGAAATGTAGTGTTCAATTGCCCACCTTCACGGATTACGGTGGGCAGTGAAAAGCCACACTGAAATGCTCGGAATAGCTGTGGCTATTTAGACTGTGGCGATTTAGACTGTGGCGACGACCCACGCGCGGGCCAGGCCTGCTGCGGGCCTGCGGCCCAGACAACTCCCGGACTGCGATTCTTTAGTAGAGCGAGGAGCCCAACTTAGAGGTAGAAACACCACTCCCGCGTCTCCAGGTGATCTACGAAACAAGTCTGAATTCCCAGTGGAGGGATCTGAGGGTTCCGGGCTGATTGGCTCTGGTATGAATAGTTAAGTCAGGAAATGAAGGTTTCTTTCGCCCTGGCCCTGGACTCCAGTCAAAAGTGGAGTCCGTGTGCCACCTCTGTTACATTCCATGGGCCTTTGTACGGGCCTAAGGTTCCAGGAGGTGCCACTCAGAAAATTAGTAGGGAAGCACGGACCGAAGTTTGGGGAGCTGCCTAAGGTTTAGAGTTCAATGGCAGCATCTGGAATCTCCCTAAATTCTCTCTGTGCGGCTTCTCTGTTCCTTCCTGGCCCTCCTTGCCGGGTGCGGGGTGAGCCTTACAGAGGTTGGCTTTCGGTGAGCCTGACAGAGGAGGCACTGCAAGGCCAGCTGTGGCCTTCAAATGCTTTTCCCTAGCCTGATTCCGTTTCTGGTTAAATCTGTCAAGGGAAGCTCACCTGTTCAGGAAGGGTCTTAGGGGTACAGAATCGGGGTAATATTATTTCCTAGGATCTTTCCTATGTATAGGGCTGTGAGTTTTGCTAGGCAGCTGTGAAGACCTACCTAAACAGTGGTGGACCAGGCCAATAAGCAATAGCCAGATTACAAGGTGGGCGAAGAGGCTTCTTTGTATGTACCTGGGTAAAAACACGGATATTTAATTCCGTTTTTTTCCAGATGGAAAAGAAAACGCAAAAACACAACACACACACACACACACACACACACACACACACACACAAGCCCCTGAGATGCTCCTTCCGCATTGCATTAACCAGCTATCGACCTAGCTGTGTCTGAACTGCGGAGTGAGAGAGAAAGCGAGAGAGCAAGCACCGGAAGAGCCAGGCTGTTCTCAGGAAGGACCCAACGCCGGTGGGGGGCTGCCCCTGGCCCAGAGGGTGAACCTCTAGACCCAGAAACGAACCTAAGAACCTCGCTTAATTAGATCCCTCCAGGCATCCCAGGCCAGAGACAGAAACAGCTTCCCGGTTACCCCGTGACCAAATGGGAAGAGCGTGGGCCAG